CAGCTCCAGTCCCGCTGCACCCGGGAGAAGATCCGGGGAGGGGAAGGAGCCAAAACCAACACGGCAGCAGCTCCAGGGCCCCTCCACGCTTTAATCAGAGGCTCCTCCATCCTCCTCCCCACCCCCGGCGGCTTCAAAGCCGCGGCAGCGCCCGTCCCGTCCCGAATCCTCGCCGTCTCGCCGATGTTTAGACATTTCAGGAGTTTTTCCACACCACAAGGGCGCTCTCAGGGATTATTTGGTTTGGCAGCCGCGTTCAGAGCGTTCTCAGCTCCTCGATTCCCCAGCAGCGGCGGCGCWTGTGATAATTCCCCGACACAATTCCCCTGAATTCGCGGGGTTGTTCGGAAATCGCCGCCTCTCCCGTCCTGGAAGTTAAGTCAGGGCTAAGGCGGGGTGAAATCGGGTGGAATTCTGTGGAAAACGGGAGGAGGGAAGCGGCTGTTCTCCAAAAATAGAGCGGGCGGGATTAGGGGCAGGGAAAAGCCGCGGCAAAGCCGAGCTCTCTCTCGAAAATCCGTGCCATGAACTGCAGAGCCCTTCCTGCTGCAGACACTGCCAAAACAACCTCCAGCTGCACAAGGAGCTGGAAAGCAGCTGGAGGGGGGAAAAAATCCCAGGAATTCGTGTTTTCGAGTGGGATCACCTGCCTGTACTTTCCCAGCTTCCTGTTTATGCAGGAGGATGATGAATCAAATCAGCCGGGGGAGAGTAACTCCAAAAAATCCTGGGAGCTGCTCCCACCCCAAACCCGTCCCTGCGGCATCCCGGGATGCCCAGCCCGGTGTGGAGAGGCAGGAATTGTCAAATAAATCCTAAAGGTCAAGGGGGAGARGTTTGATTCACTGGTTGATGGTTTTGTGGAGTTCCAGCTGCTCTGCAGTTCCCCAGGGAATCCGTTTCCCTTTCCCAGTGGAGCCTTTTCCCTCTCCCAAGGATAGAGAGAAGGAGCAGTCAGTGCTGAGTTCCATAGAGGGACCTGAACCCTTCCCAATCCCAAATTCCACAGTGGGATCTGCACCATTCCCAATCCCAAATTCCACAGTGGGATCTGCACCATTCCCAATCCCAAATTCCACAGTGGGATCTGCATCGATCCCAATCCCACATTCCACAGGTTCCACTGTGGGACCCAAATCCCTCCCAATCCCACATTCCACAGTGGGATCTGCATCGATCCCAATCCCATATTCCACAGTGGGATCTGCATCATTCCCAATCCCAGATTCCACAGTGGCACTTGAATCCCTCCCAGTCCCTGATTCCATAGTGGGGTCTGCATTGCTCCCAATCCCATATTCCACTGATTCCACTGTGGGACCTGAATTCCTCCCAGTCCCACATTCCACAGTGGGATCTGCACCATTCCCAGTCCCAGATTCCACTGGTTCCACTGTGGGACTTAAATTCCTCCCAATCCCAGGTTTTGCAGTGGGATCTGCATTGCTCCCAATCCCACATTCCACAGTGGGATCAGCATCACTCCATTCCCATATTCCACAGGTTCCACTGTGTGATCTGAATCCTTTCCAATCCCGAATTCCACAGTGGGATCTGCACCCCTCCCAATCCCAAATTCCACAGTGGGATCTGCATTGATCCCAATCCCATGTTCCACAGTAGGATCGGCATTGCACCCATTCCCATATTCCACAGGTTCCACTGTGTGATCTGAATCCTTTCCAATCCCGAATTCCACAGTGGAATCTGCATCCCTACCAATCCTAAATTCCACAGAGGCACCTGAATCCTTCCCAACCCCAGATTCCAGTGAAACCAGCATTGCTCCCATTCCCATATACTACAGGGGAATCTGCATCGATCCCAATCCCATATTCCACAGTGGGATCTGCATCGAGCCCAATCCCATATTCCACAGGTTCCCTGTGTGATCTGAATCCTTTCCAATCCCGAATTCCACAGTGGGATCTGCATCCCTC